GTTGTACCTCAGTGCTTGGCTGTAAACAATGGATCATGTGGTGTGTCCGGGATGGAAGCTGGAGGCATTCAGGTAAGCATAGCGGTTGGTAGGTTTTCGGTATAGGGTGGTATTGATGGGACCGTCACTTATTTGCACCATGGTATCCAGGAAATGGACCTCCCATGTAAACTGATCCATGCTGAGGTTGATGGTGGGGTGGAAGCTGTTGAAATCGTGGTGAAATTCTTCTAGAGTCTCCTTCCCATGGGTCCAGATGATGAAGATGTCATCGATGTAGCATAGGTAGAGAAGGGGCGTAAGTGGACAAGAGCTGAGGAAGTGTTGTTCCAGGTCAGCCATAAAAATGTTGGCATATTGTGGGGCCCTGCGGGTGCCCATAGCAGTGCCACTGGTCTGGAGGTATATATTGTCACCAAATCTGAAATAGTTGTATGTGAAGATAAATTCAGAGTTCAGCCACCAGTTGTGCTGTGGCATCATCAGGGATACTGTTCCTGACAGCTTGTACTCCATCTGCATGTGGGATGTTTGTGCAGAGAACCTCTACATCCATGGTGGCTAGGATGGTGTTTTCTGGAAGAACTACAATGCATTGGTGATATCTCAGTGGGCCTCATCCTCCCTGATTGGATCCACCTCGTCATCTCCAGCCTGATTCTGGCCTGCGTATTTATACCTGCGTCTGGAAATTTCCACTACATGCATCTGACGAAGTGGGTCTTTGCCCATGAAAGCTTATGCTCCAACACTTCAGTTAGTCTATAAGGTGCCACAGGACTCCTCACTGCTTGTCCTGGTCAGGTGGTCGATAACCTGCCTCTGGAAATTTCCACTACATGCATCTGACGAAGTGGGTCTTTGCCCATGAAAGCTTATGCTCCAACACTTCAGTTAGTCTATAAGGTGCCACAGGACTCCTCACTGCTTGTCCTGGTCAGGTGGTCGATAATAGATCCCTACTGTTATATTCTCATTAGAGCAGGAAATTGCTATCCATGGCGATTCTGTGGAACATGTTGTTTCATTTAAGATTTTTACTTCATTTGATTCTAAATTTTCCTTCACATATAGTGCCACTCCCCCACCTGCACGACCTGTTCTGTCCTTCCGATATATTTTGTATCCCGGAATGATTGCGTCCCATTGATTGTCCTCACTCCACCAGGTTTCTGTGATGCCTATTATATCAGTATCCTCCTTTAGCACGAGGCACTGTAGTTCACCCATCTTATTTTTTAGACTTCTAGCATTTGTGTACAAGCACTTTAAAAACTTGTCACCGTTTGTCTGCCCTTTTCTGATGTCAGATTCTTTTTTTCGTCTGATCTGGCCCATACTTTATCTTCTTTCATCCTCTCCTCCTGACTAAAACCTAGAGAATCTCTATCAATAGACTCTCCTCTAAGAGATGTCTCTGTCCGATCCACGTGCTCCTCTGCACCAATCGGCTTTCCCCCATCTCTTAGTTTAAAAACTGCTTTGCGGCCTTTTTAATGTTAAGTGCCAGCAGTGTGGATCCACTTTGGTTTAGGTGGAGTCCATCCTTCCTGTATAGGCTCCCCCTATTCCAAAAGTTTCCCCTGTTCTTTATAGAGCTAAACTCCTCCTCCCTATACCATTGTCTCATCCACACATTGAGATTCTGAAGCTCTGCCTGCCTACCTGGCCCTGCGTGTAATACTGGAAGCATTTCTGACACTACCACCATAGAGGTCCTGGATTTCAGTCTGTTTCCTAGCACCTTAAATTTGGCCTCCAGGATGTCTCTGCTACCCTTCCCTATGTCATTGGTACCTACATGTACCACGACCACCGGCTCCTCCCAGCACTACACATAAGTCTATCTAGATGCCTCGAGAGTTCTGCAACCTTCCCACCAGGCAGGCAAGTCACCATACGGTTCTCCTGGTTATTGCAAACCCAGCTATTTACATTTCTAATGATCGAATCTCCCATTACTAACACCTGCCTTTTCCTAGTGACTGGAGTTCCCTCCCCCGGAGAGGTAATCTCAGTGCGAGAGGATACCCCCTCATCTGGAAGGAGGGTCCCGGCTATGGGAAGGTTTCTCTCTGCTCCCCTTGACTGCTCTCCTTCCCTTAGCCTTTCATCCTCCTTAACAGCACAGGGGCCATCTGACCGGAGGTAGGACGGTCCTATAGTGTTCCGGAAGTCTCATCTACGTACCTCTCTGCCTCCCTCAGTTCCTCCAGTTCAGCCAACCTGGCCTCCAAAGCCTGTACGTGGTTTAAAGCCCATATGTGGTCTCTGAGGGCCAGGAGCTCCCTGCACCAAATATACACATACGCCACCCACCCATAGGGTAGGTATTCATACATGCTACACTGAGTGCAATAAACAGGATAGCCCCCACTCTGCTGCTGGGCTTCTGCCTACATTCTCGCCTACAGCTACCTAGGTTATTGATAGGGTTTCTAGTTAAATCAAGAAGTTTTGATTAAAACCTTTAAATTAAACTCTAAAGAATGGCAAGTGTACCCTGGCCCCTTCCCACGCCCCTTCCAGAATCCCTCTCAAAACTCCCTGTTTGCTGCCCCTGGTCACTGATTTACTGCTTTATAAAGCCCAGGCTTTCCTGATAGCCCCTCCTCCTGTCTAAGGCTCAGCCAATTAACAGAGGCTTCTAGATTTCAAACCTGTAGAAGGTCACAGGTTCCAACTGCCAGCCAGAGCACATGCTCCTTCAAACCAACCAACCAGACAGACAGATGCAAGCTCAGCACACAGCAAGTAACCCACAAACACACACTACAGACAGCATACAGAGGCAGCAAGAGGGGAAGCGAGTAGTCAAGTAATCTACTCAACTACCCCAATAAGCTTATGCTTATCAAGTAGTTGAGTAATCGAGTACTTGCTACCGTCTTTAGTATAGACCTGTCCACGACCTGATGTGCCCAAGGTTCTGTTCCTTCCCGGCCCTCCAGGAAGCTGCTTGTGAGTCACGTATTGGAATGGACATGAGCAGTCACTTAAAGAAGAAAAAATGGTTACCTGTCCGTCATAACTGTTGTTTTTCGAGTTGTGTTGTCCATTCCAAATCCCACTCGCCTCCACTCAGTCTGAGTATTCCTTCAGGAAGGAACTGTACAGTCAGCTGGTTGGCAGTGTCCTATAGCACTGCCCTAGAGAAATGTTTCCTAACCTTTTTGAGCATACAGACCCCTTTTCAAGCTATTAAAATTTCATGGACCCACCCTCCCCCAAATAATCCATTTTTGCTAGCTCAGTTAAATCCTTCCCTCCACTCTAATCGTGTTTGAATGGTAAGAATGGGTGACATATTCAAAAAAGAGGGGAAAAATAGTAAAAATTGACTGACCCGTTTGTTATAAGCTGACTCCAGTGGACAGTTGCAGGTTGTCAGCTTCAGCGTGGGCTGAGGGACGCGCAGACCCTGCAGGGCCTGGAGCTTCTCTGGTCCCATTGCCTGTTGTTCGCCTGCGCTGCTTTCTCAGCTCCTGTCCCCTCCATCCCCTGCCCATCCACAGAGCGAGGGGGCTCTCGTGGCCAAAGGGAACTGCCAGATCCTCAAGAGTGGAATTTCGGGAGGGTAAGGGGCAAGGGCAGAACTTCAGGACCATGGGTGGAGGTCAGCAGCTGTGCACACCAGGATGTGGCTTGCTTTTGATCCCATTCTCCGGAAGCTAAGGGAGCATGGGGAAAGTGCTTGTTTGCCATGCATGCCTCTCGTTTTGTTGTGTTTTGTTCTATTCTGTTTGATCAGATAAAAGTATTCAGAGTAACCATGTAGTGAGTTAGTTCTGCCTTTACTGACCATCTGCATACAGTCTAACAAATATTAACTGCATACTTCAGCCTGTTCTTTCTTTCTGTACAGTACATTTTGAAAGCACTGAAATAAGAACTAAGAAGTTGTGTTAAAATACTGTGGTGAAGACCTCAGATGTATATGCATTTGTTTTGGAATGATATTAATGAGTTTGCCTGTTGCAGAAACATTTTGTTGCTGTCCTTGAAAAAGAAGAAAATATTTCGAAATTTCTTGGAGGAGATGAGGTTATTCAGGTTCCTATTGTGAGCCCTGCTACTCAAATTGTGCTAAAAGGGTTATTCATGGTTCTGCAGTATCTCTTCAAAGATAACAACAGGTTGGTGGAAAAATATAGCCTGAATTGTGGATTTTTTTTCTTTTTCTTTCTAGCAGTTATGTTTAAATTGCAAGTGTGTGCATTTTTGTAAACATCTGATTGTTTATATAAATATGAAAAGATAGCAAATATAAATGTTTTCCGTAAGATATTTAGGTAGCTTTGGTGCATGTGATTAAAAAGAGAATTTAGGAGCCAAGCAGAGTGGAGGCATGCATTGTGCAAACATGTTCCTGCTTCTTTGCCAAGTTGTCTCTTTCTCAACTATTCAGCACCTCTGCTATTTATTTCAGTGTCAGACTTCTCCTGGGCAAAAACTACTAATTAAACAAGATAGTGCCAAAAATATTTCTCATGTGGGTAAACATCCGGTAAGAAGTAGGTTGATATCTCCACATTAATTTTTTTTATATATCTAAAACATTGACTTTGGTTTCTCTAAAGGTCAGACTGGAATATTTTCTTGGCATGTTGCCAAACTCCAGTATATGCTTCAATTATCATTAAAGAGCTCTATGCCGCTCTTTTGATATCTTCACTATTAAAGCCAACTCTAGCTATTAAATATTTTGTTTTAGAATTAATTCTGTAATACATGGCTTAGTGATTATAGGGATTCTTATAGGTTTTTAAATAGAAAGTCATAAATTTTGAACCTTGCTTCTTAAATCATATTCTCTGTTTCTAGTGTAGAATACCTTCTTCTATTTACTATGTGGTGCCACAGTTGCCAGCTCGTTTTATTCTAGGCAGAGTTTTGTAGAGTATTTGGTCGGATGCTTACGGTGGAACCACATTGTGTCAACACTGGTTTTGCTTTTTCAAAGTATAATGCGTTGAACCCACATGACCGATCTTATGAAATATATTTTTAACAAACACAAATGCAAGTTACATCTGTTTACCGGTTATAATTTATTTCTATACAGATTTGCAGATGACTACAGAATTGCTTTGCAACAAACGTATGTTTGGACAAATGAAAACCAACTTGATATTCCAGATAAAAATTCTTTCTTTGTACAACCAAAACATAAAAGGAGTTCCCGGCAGAAAACTGCAGTCCATATGCTTAACTTTTGGTGCTTGAATCCAGCTGTGGTAAGCCAAGTACAAAATGAACCAGTAATTCCTTATTAACCCTTTTTGATCAAAAATACAAATATAATAGTTTGTACTGATTTTACTGATTTAACCAAATTATTTGCCCTAGGCTTTTTCAGACTTGAGTGGCAGTGTCAGGACAATTGTTCTAACATCTGGTACGCTCTCTCCAATGGATTCGTTTTCTTCAGAACTTGGTGTGAAGTTTACTATCCAACTTGAGGCAAATCATGTTATTCATAACTCACAGGTAAATGTTTGAAGCATTGCTTTTATTCTTGAAACTTCAATGATATTCACTATAAAATAAGCAATAAATGGCAAGTTCAAATGAGGACCATATAGATTTATTCTATTTCTATAACTCAGAAAAGGAAGAGTAAAGCCAGATATTTACTTGCGTTGAGAAAATTGGCAACAAAATGTTTAAATGAAACATACAATATCTACTATATATTTGTGATAGAAATGTAGCCATGTTAGTCTGGTGTAGCTGAAACAAAATACAGGACTATGTAGCACTTTAAAGACTAACAAGATGGTTTATTAGATGATGAGCTTTCGTGGGCCAGACCCACTTCCTCAGATCAAATAGTGGAAGAAAGTAGTCACAACCATATATACCAAAGGATACAATTTAAAAAAAAAATGAACACATATGAAAAGGACAAATCACATTTCAGAACAGAAAGGGAATGCGGGGGGGAGGGGGGCAAGGAAGGTAAATGTCTGTGAGCTAATGGTATTAGAGGTGATAATTGGGGAAGCTATCTTTGTAATGGTAAGGTAGTTGGGGTCATTACAAAGATAGCTTCCCCAATTATCACCTCTAATACCATTAGCTCACAGACATCTACCTTTCCCCACTTCTAATATCATTAACTCACAGACATTTACCTTCCTTCCCCCCCTCTCTGCTTCCCCCTTCTGTTCTGAAATGTGATTTGTCCTTTTCATATGTGTTCATTTTTTTTTAATTGTATCCTTTGGTATATATGGTTGTGACTATTTTCTTCCACTATTTGATCTGAGGAAGTGGGTCTGGCCCACGAAAGCTCATCATCTAATAAACCATCTTGTTAGTCTTTAAAGTGCTACATAGTCCTGTATTTTACTATATATTTGAGAGAGTTTGTGCATGAGTGAGTGAGTCTGCTTGTTCAAGAATCCTCCTACATGGTAAAATCTAGGACCACCAAATTTGTTATGCAGCTTCCTCTTATAACTTAAACCAAAGTAAGGGTTTGGTTGTGCCAGGAAAATGGGATGTGCCTGGAATGGGATTGCTTCTCCTAAAGCCATGCAGAAGAGTCCGAATCAACAGACAGGTTAAAGACACTGGCTGAGGGTGTGATGGCGCGTCGGGGTCCCCCGTCTCCTACACCCCCGTAGTGTCATGAACAGACTCCACCAGATAGTAGAATAGAGGGAGTTTATTGCTTCTCCAGGATACAGCACAGATGTAATCTGGTTACAGGAACTGGGGCTAAGAGGCCTCAGTGCTCCCCCTTAAGATGGGGGGTAGCTGGGCCCTACAATCCCAACCCCCCTCCCTAGATCCTACTCCCCTGCCTTCCAAACCGAAAACTACCACTCTCTTCCAGCCCTGCCCCCAGCCAGGGCTCCACTCCGCCTTCTTCCCATTGTTCCGCTCCCTGGGAGATAACTGGTCGGACAGGTTCGGAGCCCCCTTGCATAATGACTCATCCCCTGCCCTGCTGGGCCGTGCTGCAGACAGCGGAGGTCACCCACAGCCCACTGCCCAGCATAGCAACCAGCAAGGTACCCCCCACTATGTCACAGGCATCATTGCTATGATGACAGACGGCTGGGGGAGTCCTTTTTCCCCGAGGCAGCCTGCATCCTAACCATGAACCCCCAGTCCCACCCCAGAGCATTGATTTTAAACAAAATCAATTAATTGAGTTAAGGACCTGAGCAATGCTATGTCAAACTTCTAGTATAATAGTATATTAGGAAAATACTATTTTACCAGTACAGCTAAAAAATAAACACAACTAGTAACCACACCTCACATCTTGATGACTTGTTACACTCTGATTTTCTTTATTTCCTCTGTTTATTAATTTTATATTCTTGTTCATTAGCATTAATTTTATTCAGAAATAATAATATTTTATTTACTTCAATTTTTATATTTCCCTATTCATTTGGTGTAAATATGTATATAACATTGAAATATTAATACCACAGGTTTGGGTTGGCACCATTGGGGCAGGCCCCAAGGGTCGGAAGCTGTGTGCCACATTCCAGCATACAGAGACCTTTGAATTCCAGGATGAAGTGGGAGCACTTTTGCTTTCAGTGTGTCAAACTGTTGGCCAAGGAGTCTTATGTTTTTTGCCTTCTTACAAGGTAAGGAAATTTTAATTCATATTCTTATTTCTATTAAAAATCCTATTTAAAGATTTCTTTGTAATTTTTCATCCCTATATATCAACATGGAGACAACAGCAATGTCCATATTGGAATTGCTTGGATCCTGTAGTTTGGTTACAAACTTGTTTGTGTGAACAGTATGTTTTGTTCCATTATGGGAATAATAGGAGCACTGATGTTTTGATCAGTCATTTAAAAGTGTGCTTATGTGCATTTGGAATTGTTAAAAAGGGTGCTAAGTATGAAAATAAACCTTGTCTAGAAAGTGTCACAGTTTAGGGCAATTTCGCCTATACTGTCTCAAAGTCCAGCAAGGACACCTGCTCCCAGGCTTCCAGCTCACCTGTTGTTGCATTTTTTGGCAGACATACCTTTTTCTTTTTCCAGACTAGCAATTGCCTGCTTGTGCTGGGGAATTCCCCAGCAAGACAGACTGCCTAGCAGACCTGCCTTGTCTTCTGCTCAAAGGCTCTAAACAAAGATGAAAACATATTAAAAACAATGAAAGCACCTATGTGCATGCTACTAAGCTTACTAAAAATCATCATCCACATCCACACGGGTGCTAATCAGCATCAGTTCTTCCAATACTTCCATGAGGATTGCAGCACTCCATTTGGATGGAGGGTCCTGCTAATTTGTTGGATCAGAAAGAAGGCCCTGAGTCAAGTTAAAATCAGGTTATTTATCCAAAAGTCCTTTCTTGTCTGGGGGATCTCTAGAGAATCCAGTTGGAACCAGTATATGCCAGTCTTTCCACATGGTAATACCTCTAGGGCCGTGTTGCAACCTGTGTGAATTTGCTTAATCACTCTGCACAATGTTCCTCCTTCCCCATGGAATTACTTACAATCCCTGGCCCAGAGTGATACGTAAACTTAATGCATTAAGATTTAACTTGCTTAAAAAAGGTTTGTTCAGGGTATTGCAAGAAATTTCCATCTCTTTTTTGCAGAAAGATGAGATGCTTGTTGATTTTCGTTAAACTGTCTCCATGGTCTAGTATTTTAAAACCACTTCTTAAAAAACTTATTGTTCAGCTGCCTACCCTAAAAGGCAACTTTGTCATAGGAATTGATTCAGCAATTAGGGTGTCTTTTTTGTATTTTCTTTTCATGCTGTTTGTATGTAATATACAGCCATTTCATATCTTTTTATTATTGTTTCGTTTCAATATGGATTTTAGCAAGGTTTTATTGAATCATCTCAAAATGTCACAAAGCCTCCTGTCCCAAATTATTTTTTTTAATTCAGACCACGTATTGCTAAATTTTGTTGATAAGAGGATGTATCATATGGCTAAAACTGTACCACAGTGATAAAAAACAAGCATTTGTATTCTTTTCCCATAGTTCTTATTGTACTTAAATCAGAAGAACAATAGTACAAATGTTGAGTATAATTAGTAGTACGGGTCTGTTTGTTTCATCAAACTGTAACTGTGGTTGGATTGTGATAAACAATTTATTAAAATCAACCATGGTTTAATGTAAACCTTTTAAAAATCAAAACTGGTATCACTGGAAAAACTGCATCTGTTTGGAGTCACTTATGCAGTTCAAGATTTCTGACCACTTTGTCAGAAGTCCCACCAGAAAGAGAGTATTTTAAAACCTGAAGGAATAGATAAAAAGAAAATATCCTTTTGTGTAACACACTACACATATTACATATATTGTTAGAGTGAAGGGAATACCAGTTCCTTATCTTGCCTGAGGTTTATAAAGAGCTGCAGCCATCAGTGCAGTTACAGGAATAGCCATTAGGTGACCACATTAGACCACACAATAAGAAATTAGTAGAAAAAGGCAGACTATGAATTATCCATCATTCTAACTCACAAAACCACATGAATAAATGTGCAAGACTAGTAAGCTGAAAATAAATTTTACATTGTCTTATTTTAGATCTAAAATTGAATCTCAGGCATTATTTCAGTTTGTGATGTATTTATGTAGAACAGTCTTGACCAGGGTACTGTTAATGTTGTGTAGAAGCTGTTTCTTATGTGTATAAACAAAAGATATTTGCTGAAATATTTTGTTTTGAGAATAATACTGATCTTAATTGATAATGCTTCGGTACCTGAGATGCGCGTAGTAACTGGCATATGTAGTAAGACTGAACAAAATTCCTGATGAGCTCAGGTTGTTTCCTTCCCCCTCCGTATCCCAATTGGCCTTATGCTTCACCAAAAGGACTACTGAGAAAAACACATCAATTGCATGTTTACACAGAAATAAAACATCTGAGGCTGGTGGCTGTGGCTGCAGGAGCAATGAGATTGTAGGGTAGATATTTGGTGGGACCTTTGGGATCTCTGAACCCGGGCTCCTGCCTGAGCACAAATGTATACAGTGCAGTTTTAGAGCCCCACAGTCCAAGCCCTGTGAGCCCAAGTCAGATTACCCAGGCCAGACATGGGTGTTATACTGTGGTGTAGTTATACCCTCTATATTTTTCCTTTGTGGAGGTACTTCCATGGACCTAATGAAATAATTCATAAATATGAATTCCAAACAACGTAAGGATATTTTCAAATTGTATTTCCTATATTGCTCTACTTTTATCCCTTTTATGTCATTTCTTCCATTCTGCATTGCGCTATCTTGTAGGGCTGAGAAATGTATATGGTCAAAATATGGAGAAAAATGTTAGATTTTGTAAACTTGTTTGCACAGGATTAAGAGGAGGCTTCCCTCATCCTCATGTACAACACTGCATAATTGCCAGTTTGCATTCAGAGGTTCTCTATAATAATTTTCAGAGGCAAGATTCTAGGTTTCATGGACTGTATCTGGTATAGTAAATCTAATATTCTTCAACCTTTGATTACATCATTTATATTAGGTATTATTTGAATACATTTTAAGATCATGTTTTCTTGCTAAAGCATTGTTGTGGGGTATCATGTTTCCTCTTCCAGTAGGTTAATTTTGCTGAGGGCCAACACAATTCTTATTTGAGTTCTAGTGCATAGTTTGCAGTGAGAGGTGAATATTTTTTTCTTACTGGCTTGAGAGGGTTGAGTTTTGGGATCTAGGCATACTGTAATATCGATTCATTCATTAGAATTTTAGCTTGATTAAGTTAAACCAGAAGGAAGAAGGTTTTTTTGAATGATATGATGAGGTGTTTGTTGAGTTCTAATTTTAGTTTTGTTAGTGAATTTATAGTTTGTCTAGGCCAGTGTTTCTTTAACTTTTTAAGACCGAGGAACACCAAATAATAACTTTTTTTAATGAGGAACACCAAGGATTTTTTTGTTGAGACAACAAAAAAAAATTGGGGGAAAAATTAAGGAAAAAAAGGTTGCCTGCCCCTTTAAGGGTGGCCATTTTGAATTCTGTTGTTCTCTGGCACACCTCCAACTGCCTCATGGCACACCAGTGTGCCACAGAATACAGTTTAAGAAACACTGGTCTAGGCTCATTTTTAGCTCATTAACTGAGCCTTCTCAGTTCCCACAGAACTCTGCTATTGGCTGGGTGGAATGCTTACTGTATTTCTGAAAATTAGGCTTCTTGTATGTCAGTGCCTTTAAGCCCCACAATTGGAAAAATGTGGTCTGTGTTCCTAGAGTTATGACACTTCTTAATGAATGAAAACACAAATAAATAGATATGAGTGTTGATCAGGAGCTCACACTCCATGGATGGTTATGATACTAAAAGTAAAAAAGTTAGAAAAGTTACTTGTTTTATGATAACTGTAATGCCCTGTGCATATATTGTTTATAAGGTCCTAAAATATGACCCCACACATAATGAAACAAAATATTAGATATGTTTAAGAGATTAAATTCAAGTTGCTGTGGGAAACATAATTAAATGTCCCAACTTCTCCATTTAAAATCTGACTCATGTTAACATAGTATTTATATTTCATTTCTTTGTAAATATCTGTTTTTTGGAGTTTAAAATAATTCTGTTAGGATTGTCATAGAACCATAGGATGTGTCCTATGTCCCAGCTTTTAAACAGTACCTTGAAAGTACCCTTTTAGTTGGCCAGATACCCACGGGATCCAACTGTTCCTTAATAGGTAAGCTAAGGGTATGACTACAATGCAATGAAAAAAACTGGCACTGAGTCTCAGATTCCAGGTCAGCTGACATGGACTTATGGGGCTTGAGCTGTGGGACTAATAACTGTAGTGTAGATGCTTGGGCTAGAGCCTGCGGTCTGCCATCCCCCCTATTGGGTTTCAGAGCCTGAGTTCTAGCCTAGCCTGAACATAGTCTCTAAGAGTACTGTACGTACGAATCAGTTGCCAAGTGGAATAACGCGTGGGCGAGATTACGCTAATGAAGTGCGGGATATTTAAATCCCCGCTTCATTAGCAATTTTGGTCAGCTACATTTGCATACCTAGCTCGAACTAGGGAGCAAGTGTAGAAGTACCCTAAGATGTTGCAGACGCAAACTAAAATGGCAACCCCTCTGAGGCTCTACACTGTCATTGTTGGCACTGCAGCTTAAGGCCTGGGAGCTCAAGTCAGTTTACTTGGAGCAGGTGCTTCCTGCCTTTTATGGCTGTGTAGATGTACCCTATGTATCCACAATGCCTTCAAGATAGAACCTTTGGGCTCCAGGATTCCTGTTTCTCCCCATGAACTCTGCCCAGTGAATCCAGCTGAGGGAGATGACAGTTCAGAGGTTTTTACTCTCTTCAGGGATCAATGTACGTCTGCAAGTACCTTCAGCAGCTCCATGCAGCCTTTTTAGAACAGGGTAAGGTTTATTAGTCAACAGAATATTGTGTGAGGTAGCCCTCAGGTTAACATAGTAAAGCAAAGGTTAAGACATAGTACCCAACCAGGGGCGGCCCTAGATGAGCTGCCAGCAACTGGCGCCCTAGGCGAACCGTGCAATCGGCACTCCCACCTCCAAACCCCTCAACGATATTGCACCACATTTTGGCGCCCCATTTAACTTGGCACCTTAGGCGACCACCTAGTTCGCCTATATGGACGGG